TTGTAAGTGTTTTTACGGTATAAGCCAGTATTGTAAATTGTTTGTTGTACAATAAAGTTAATTGTACTCCACTTTTGTCATCGTGGGCATTTATTTAACAATCCAGCGATACGAGCCGTAGGATATTTGGGAAATCCCACAAGGCTTCAAGGATAATCGTAACAATTAGAGTTGTCAAACTATCGATGGCACTATCGATAGTATCGATAGTTTCAATTTTTTTAGACTATCAATACACATTGATAGTTTTTTCTTATACTATCAAAAATATCGATAGTTTAGTAGGACTATCGATCATCTCTCCCAATTTTTTTGAAATTATACATACATATGTTAATCGTAAATCCCGTTTTGTTTGTATAACTTGTGTTTGTTTTTGAACTTTCTAAAAAGAGAAGTATTTTGGCTATGCAGTTACTTAATTTTGAATGATTATAACTTTTATAAGATAATATTTATTTCACTATGATTCTGTAAAAACAAAGCAACCTAACTGATTTAGCGCTATCGATAGTGCCATCGATAGTTTTGTTTTTTTTCGAGACTATCGTGAATATTGATAGTTTTTCTGAAAACTATCAAAACTATCGACGGTGTGACTATCGATAGTTTGACACCTCTAGTAACAATACGTTTCATATAAGTTTGATTTTGTAATTAGTACTTGTGTCACCCAATATTTGTGGTTTTTCCATTCTCTGCATAGATATTAAGGATATCTGGTTTGCCGAGACGGGAAGATGCAATATCTGAGAAGCAATCCGCATCTAAATCTAAACCACACTTATCCAAAGGTTGACCTTGAGCATTATTGATTGCGATTCCGAATGCCAATCGAATTGGGAATGGCAATCTTTTAACTGAAAGGCCACGGTAAAATCTTTGCTTTCACTACGTTGTTCGTCAATTTCTTAACTGCGTGCCGCGTGCCGTTGCAGAGTTTTGGCTGATTAATATTCCGCAACATGATAATTGCCACGTCCGGGTATTGGACCAAACCATTTTTTTTTTAAGAGATTGAGTCATAGGTAAAACAGGGATTTCTCAGGTTTTCGAAGTTAGCCTCCGAAATCGCGATATGGGCCTTCGAAGTTCGAAATAGGACCTTTGGTAAAAAATAATATTTAATTATTTCATGTAAATAACTAAAAACCGAAAAATATAGACGTATTCCTCCTTTTGCTCTTATTTAAATGGTATATAACTTTTTTTGTCCAAACTTATATTACAGGTGCTATAAGGTATAAGGGGTCAAAGTTCCGGTCTTCGAAAAATTATATTCCTTATACTGCAAATAATTTTGAACTGATTTTTAATTTATATCGTTTCAAAGGCGATTAAACCCCCTTTCTTCCGATATGCATATTGGTATACTTCGTATATAAAAGAAAAAATATTTAAATGAAAAAATAATTTTTTTTTATAAAAAAAATACTAACAGTTTTTTAAAAAATTGCTGTCGTTGTAAAGACGATTAATTCCCCTTTCTTCTGATATATATATTTTAAACAAAAAAGTTACTAACCGATTTTTAAAAGGTTGGTATCGTTATATTTCTTTTGATTTGCATATTTGTATACTTCGTAATAAGAATTAAAAAGAGTTTTTTAAAAAATTGGTGTCGTTTTAAGGTAGATTGAATCCCCGTTCTTCTTATATACATATTTGTATACTTCGTGTATAAAAACTTGAGAAAAAACACATTTAAATGAAAATATACCTTTTTTTTATAAAAAAAAACAACATTTTAAACAAGAAAATTACCAACCGATTTTTAAACAATTGATACCGTTGTAAAGGCGATTAAACCCCCTTTCTTCAGATATGCATATTTGTGTACTTCGTATATAAAAATTTGAGAAAAACACTTAAAAGGAAAAAATACCAATTTTTTCTTATAAAAAATATTTTAAACAAAAAAATTACAAATTAGTAATAGAATTGAATACTTTATTTAAATAAAACAGAAAATTACCTTTAATTTTCATATATAACCTGTTATGTAAAAAATCACAAACCATGGAGTTTTTATACTTTTATATGCCTTAGACTACTGTTACATATACTTTTGCTTTATTTTTAATAGGGCTGCCGGTGAACAAGAACGAATTAATGCTTAAAACACTATTAATTATTAATTTTATTTAAATACGGTATTCACTTGTATTACTAATTTTCTGGAATATTAAGTTTTTAATTTTTGGAAGATCTGACTTTTGACCCTTTATAGCACCTGTAATATAAGTTTTCACAAAAAAAGTTATACACATACCATATAAATAAGAGCAAAAGGCGGACCACGTCTGTTTTTTTTTTACTTTTTTTTACTTTTCACATGCAATAACTAAAAATTATTTTTTTTTACCAAAGTTCCAATTTCCAATTTCGAAGGCCCATATCTCGATTTCGGAGGCTAACTTCGAAAAATAGAGAAATTACTTTTTTTACTTATGACTCAATCTCTTAAAAACAGTTGGTTTGGTCCAATACCCAGCCGAGTGCTGTACAGTGTATTTAACTGGTCTTTTTCCACAACGGTGTTTATCGACCTATATGTTATTTCCTCAATTTGCTGCTGTTATTCAATTAGTGGTATTCACCAAAGTGAGCAAAAAGCCTGGCAGTCAATACTACTATTATTTAGTTGATAGACATCCTTGCTCTTTGCAGTTCTTCGTTCACTGAGCCAGTCGTGATTCGTGATTCTTCTTTTTTGGCGCAGTACCCGCCTAAGCGATTTTGACCCTGTTCAGCAAAGTACGCCAGTCGTTTCTCTTCTGTGCCAACTGACGCCAATTGGAAACGCCAAGTGAAGCCAAGTCCTTCTCCAACTGCGGGTTCCGAGTTGAATACTTTCAGAGCTGGAGCGTCGGTGTCAATTCGAACGACATCGCCAAGCCAGCGGAGCCGCTGCACTATGTCCATGTCGTTGTAAAGCTCATACAGCTCATCGTTCCATCGTCTGCGGTACTCGCCGTCGCCAACGCGTAAAGGACCGTAAATCTTCCGCAAAATCTTTCTCTCAAACACCCCAAGAGCCGCCTCATCGGATGTTGTCATTGTCCATGCTTCTGCGCCATATACCAGCACGGGCATGATGAGTGACTTATAGAGCGTGGTTTTCGTACGTCGAGAGAGGACTTTACTCCTGAATTGCCTACTCAGTCCAAAGTAGCACTTGTTGGCAAGAGATACTTCGTCTTGTCCTCGTTTACCACCAAACCCATTCGCTTTGCTTCCTTGTCCAACTTGGAAAAGGCAGAACAGACTTCACAGTCTTTCTTACCGATGATGTCAGTGTCATCGGCATGAGCCAGCAATTGCACTCTCTTGTAGTAAATTGTTCCTGAGCGGTTGAGTTCTGCTGCTCTTATTATCTTCTCCAACATCAGATTAAAGAAGTCACATCAAAGGGAGTCGCCCTGTCTGAAACCCCGTTTGGTGACGAACGGCTCGGAGAGGTATTTCCCAATTCTGGCGGAGCTGGTGGTATTGCTCAACGTCATTTTACGCAGCCGTATGAATTTTGTGGAAATGCTAAATTCAGACATAGAGTCGACAAATAGGTGGTGAGTGTCGATCCTTTTCTCGCGGGTCTTTTCCAAGATTTGGCGTATTGTGAATACGTGGCCTATGGTCGATTTTCCAGGCTAAGGCCACACTGATAAGGCCCAATCAGTTTATTGATGGTGGGCTTCAGTCTTTCACACAAAATGCTCGATAAGACCTTGTAACCTATGCTTAGAAGGCTGATCCCGCGGTAGTTGGCGCTACTGAGGACACCCGAATTAAACGCCCCTGAGTTTGGGTTTTAGTGGGTAGCCCAACACGCTTCGGTGGGAGTCCCACACCCGGGGAAGGTAGTATAGAGACTAGCGCCCCGGCCAGTGCATAAAGTATTTCCCTCTCCTACGAAAAAAAATTTGTATATAATTTAGGGATTACAATTAAGCGATCGTGATTAAATGTAATCGTAATCAAAAATTACCCAGCTCTGGTTGCAGCATATCGAACATTTATTTGCAAATATTAAACCACCATTTGTGACAAATCCCGCTGAATGTGAAATTTGCAATTTCATTTGTGGAAGTAGCTGATTTCGTCTTATTACAGTTTTTATTTTATTTTTAGCGCCCAGCGCTTAAAAGCGGATTGTGCGATTAATCAATGAATATGGGTTATAATAAATTTATTAATTGCGCAGTCCTATTGGGAAATGTGTTAATACAAATATTTTTTTAAAGTATGAATATTTTAAAGAAAATTAGTTGTTCATCACTATCATATAAGTGATTTGTGTTATTTATTATTACCCTGAAGGCATTATATTCGTTTTTAGTTTTAAAAACTATGTTATAACAAAGAACGTAGATAACAAGAAGGGACAACTCGTTCTAATTGTAGCGAAAGTGAGTAACAGGGGCGTGCCTTCGCCTTCTTTTTTCATCCAATTAAAAAACGTACCAGAGCAAAAGAGAATGCACGACCCTGTTACTCACTTTCGCTACAATTATAACCAGTTATCCCTTGGTATCTACGTTCTTTGGATATCATTTTTAAAATAAAAGATTATTTAAGCCGATTTCATGAATTTTATAAAAAAAAACTTTGGCGATTTTTGACAATTTTTCCCCACAAATGGCTCTTTTCTTTTTAAATAATCTGGACACCCTGGAATGTACAAACAAGGCTATACTTATGTTGATTTCGTTTCTACCAAAAAAAATTTTACCTTTTGATTGTTCGTTTCTTAAAAGGCACATTCTCTGCCCTGTGAGGATTTGTCAGGGGAGATGATGGCCCTGAAAATCATATGGTGGCTTAAAACGACAATATGTATTATGAAATGTGTGAGCTAGACAAGGACAAGAACATCACCGGGGAAGGGCACCATTTTTTGGAAGAAACGATATGATACTTAAACGGCGACGCTTTTACCTCGCCTCACCTACGTTCTCCTCAAGTTTGGCATGGCACTTCTTGGACACCCTGTATATATATATATATGTACTTTTTATTCGCAGGGTTATTCCCTTTTTTTAAAGAGAACGTAACAGGATATTAGTTAGTTGATTTATAAAAAATGTAATATTTGAGTTATTATTAAACATTAATGACATTTTGCTGATGTCATCTAAGCAAAGAGTTCAATTAAAATAGTGGCAATTTTCTCATGGGTTTATATATCAAAACGGCTCATTGCTTGTAGAATAATTTCCTCGACCTATAAATATACATAAATAAAATATAAGAAAAGAAGCAGAAGAATTAATCCTAGTACTAAAGTACCTGAACATAGTCCGGCGTTTCTAATGCAAACAACACCGCCTTAGCAACGTCTTCAGTTTGAAGTTTAGGTAATTCGGCAACAGCTCGTGAGTAAACGCTTAAAAATTCCGTATCTACCATTCCTGGACTGATGCTCTGTATTCAAATGAAGAATAAAAATAATATATATAAGTGTGTTTTATTTTACCACGTCTATATCAGCTCGCTTTCCTGTTTATTTAGACCAGTGGTCGGCATTCTAACACATTCAAACGATGCAATAAGTGAGACTGTGTGCGTTGAATGCACTGCTCAGCTTCCGCTCTTCGTATACGTGTGAAACACACATGTGCTCAGAGAACGTTCAGTGAGCTATGGCCTGCCGACCACTGATTTAGTCAAAGAATACATAAAACTAAGAAGGTGTATAGTAGACAGTGTTGCCAAACATGGGCTTTTCCTACCAAAACTGGTAGTTTTTTTTTCCATTTGGTAGGTTGGTAGGCTTGATTGGATTTTGGTAGGTTTCGGGACCACGGTTGCCGTTTTGGTCCAAATGGACCAAATTTGGTAAATTGTTTTTCATTTGGTCCATTGGTCCAATGCTTTTTCAAATGGTCCATTTCAGAAGTGCTTTGGTTAGGTTATTATCACCCTTTCACTTCATGCAATAGTTTTTAATTTTTTCTATTTAATTGATGAATTTTGGCAACACCTGCTAAAAGTTTGAATAAGCCACTGATCTTCAAATAGGGCATCGTTAATCATCTGTCAAAGCACGCTTCAAAAAATTCCGCGGTTTCTTCCCAATTTCAATTTAAATGTTCCTTTCAATTCGTGTAAAACTTGAAAACTTGTAAGTACATGTGTGTACCTGAAAGTGTGTTCTTTATTTCTTTATTAATATCTGTGTTCGTATGGAATAGTAGCTTATGTCGGCAAGCTGGCTTTAGTATAATGCGGCATTCCCTTCATTCTTTAAACGACAAGAAATTTTTTGATGAGACTTAATAAGAATATTGACTTGCTAGTATCGGAACTATTTATGCACGTTTATTTGCCAAAAGTTTTTCAACGGCTCGGCGCCAGTGAGCCATCCGCAATCGTGTGCTGCGAATGTCGCATTATACTAAAGCCAGCCTTTCGACATAACCTACTGCTCCATACGAACATAGATATGTATGTATATTCAATTTATCCTTATAGGTAAATATTATAAATGTTTCTTTAAAAAATATTTAATATACGATTGTAATGCGCTTTGTACGCAATATGTAAAAAACGTAATAAAAACTGAATTGGCATATTTTCTTGATAAAGAGCAACAAACTCCACTCAATTTCCCAATGTTATAGAAATTGGTAAATTTCTTACCATTTGGTCCATTTTTTGGACCGGAAAAGAAATTGGAAACGGCAACCGTGTTCGGGACAATGAGTAATAGTTATTTGAGAAAAATAGAAAATATGTACGTTTCTCCAAACATTTTAGCAACCCTTTTACACAAATATTTCACCGGTGCGTTCGTATAATGGCGGCCACAAACATGTAAATATACCTGATTCCTAAGTACAAACGTATACCTTATTATTGCCAATATGCAATACGGACATCCATATATCGTCACCTAAGGGTGAAAAGGTGCCAAGTCCATTTTTTGAAATTTTTCAGGAGAGACGAAAAATCCATGCAGTTTCGTATTACCTGTCATTCTGCATCAAAAACTAAACTTTGAAAAAACAAAATGGACNAGCGAAAAAATCAATTCAAAAGTCCCACCAATACCAATGCCATACATGTACATGGTTGGGGCGGAAATGCCCCCTAAATGTATTTGTAAGTCTTCCCAATCGAAGTCTGTGTTCGCGAATGTCATCGTAGAAGGCAAATGAGGCCAGAATAAATATTATGTCGGACATTCAGGCAGCGTTAAAGGCCTAAGAGTCTTTTAAAACGACATCAAGGCTTGTAAACTCTTGAACCACCTGCGAGCCCACAATAGCGTCACGCTGTGGAGGGTTCATGGACATGAAGGGTTTCAAGGCAACGAGAGGCCTGACTGTCTCGCAAAGCGTGAAGCCCAAATGGGTTTGCATGGTCCCTAGCCTTCCTGCGGTACATCTAAAAGATACACTGCAGACCTACTTAGGAGCTAACTGGGAATAATCTCAAATTGCTGCCCACTGGCCGAAGTCAAAGGGAATAACACAATCAAAGATATGTATAACTCTTTCCAGCAGGAACTCCGAAAGACACCTTGAACTTAGAACTCTTACTGGCCACCTGACAGCAACCTGCAAGTTAACGTACGGTTTTAATTAAATGGGTCTGTAGAGACGGACTCTAGGGTTTGTCGGCTGGGGAAAGAAACCCCAGAGTATATTCTATGTGCCTGTCGACGAAGCATGAATCGTAGATTGATACACCTTGGAGAACGATTGCCTTCTCCATCTAAAATTTGGAACATGGCCTCATCCAAAGAGCTGAGCTTTTTAAATAGCCTAAGGTTGGAGTGATTACAATTTGGATTTAGCACAATATATCTTCTTACGTCGCAGCGCGGGTATCTTCGACGTAATCATCAATTATATAAATAGGCAATCATGTTTCCTTTACACCCCTTTTACGGCTAAACTGTACTTCTAAGGTATAAACAATTATATATCATTAGAAAGGTATTTTGATGCTGATGTGCAGGCAATTTTTAAAATTTCAAATTAGTTTAAAATAGAGCGAAAAAATCAATTCAAAAGTCACACCAATACCAATGCCATACATGTACATGGTTGGGGCGGAAATGCCTCCTAAATGTATGCTTTAATATTGATA